AAACCCGTAAACAGACCCACAGTGCATTTTAGTAAGACTAAGTTTCTTTAAAAATGGAAAAGCATTTCCATGGAAAAGCAGTCCCTTGGGTCCTGAATTATAGTTTTAATTACCAAACTGCATATAGATGACACAGTGAAGTACAGCTAATTAAAAGCAAAATACTTAGGTATTACTATATCGAATAGAAATACTGAGTTGTTTGACTTAAACTACCGGAAAATATGGAAGGAGATTAAAAAAGAGCTGATAAGATGGTCCCGGATGAAGCTTTCCCTATTCAGTAGAATCGCTGCAATAAAAATGCTGGTGCTTCCGAAATTTATTTACCTGTTTACCAACTTACCAATTATATATAACAATAAGCCTTTCTCTATGTGGAACAAAGAGTTGAAGAGATTTATCTGGGAAGGGAAGAAACCTCGAATTAAATGGAAGACCTTGATAGATACTAAAAACAACGGGGGTTGCAACTTACCTGACCTGGAACTATACTTCCAGGCTTGTGCACTGGTATGGATTCAGGACTGGATATTGATTAGGAACAAAAGATTACTAGATCTGGAAGGACACGACCTAAGATATGGGTGGCATGCGTACCTATGGTACGATAAAATCAAAGTACATCATTATTTTGGCCACCACATAATAAGGAGGGCTTTATTAAAAACATGGGAAAAAATAAAATTAAAATTCTACCAAGGTTTACCAGGTTGGCTATCCCCACAAGAAGCGTTACTGAGTAGATTTAGATATACGAAAAATTGGGTGAAATATGGTGAGATTTTGACTATTGATAAAAACAAGGGATCTTATGAATTAATAATGCTTAGTGAGATTTAACATAGAGATCCCGGTTTCACTTGGTTTCAATACTATCAAATCCAAGACATCTTTAAACACGACATAAACCAATATGGAATTTATCTAACGAAAAATGAAATTGACAACATTTTGTTTTCAGATAACTTAAGAATAATATCTAAACTATATGGTGTATTACTCTCTAGAAAAGTGGAAGATCAGGTAAAAGATCATATGTTGTCATGGGCAAAAGACATAGATAAAGAAATCCCGCTAGAATGTTGGATTAAAGCTAGATCAGTAACAAATAAATTTACTCTTAACCAAATGTTACGAGAAAACTACTTTAAAATGGAAACGAGGTGGTATCTTACACCGGTTAGAGTGGCTAAAATGTATAAAAACAATTGCTGTATTTGCTGGAAATGCCATAAAGAACATGGAACATGGATATATATGTGGTGGAACTGCTATAAAGTACGGAACTTTTGGGAATCTATTCATGATACAATATGTGAAATACTGAACACAACATTTGATTGTACGCCACAACTATATTTACTTAATATGATTCAAGAGAAGAAGATTCAAGAGAGAAAAAGTACATGGAAGCTTCTATTATACATGATTACGGTAGCAAGGATATTGCTTGCTAGTAAATGGAAACTAGAAGAAGTACCTACCTTGGATAACTGGTTACACAGATTGCTGGAAATCGTGGAATTTGACAAAAAGGATGAGATGTTAGAAGGTAAAGATAAAAATGAGATAAATATTAAATGGAAACCACTGTATAATTACTGTGGGAAAAAGTGGAATATTTCAATCTTCTAAGTTATAATCTGTCTTGCAGTACATATATTAATACACAAGGAAATGTTTTGAAAAGATTTATTAGATTGGGTTATAAGGAGTAATAGAACATTTGAGAAGTGGATAATCATCTTTATAATAGCAAAACAGCATATAGACACAGATATGTCTTTAAGTTAAACAATTTAATTAAAGGTATCTATAAGCATAATTTGTATTAAGCTTAGAATATAGCTATGGAAATAATTGTAAAAAGTAAATTGCAGGGAAGGTTACCCGCATGTCTTCAATATGGAAAATGCATTGAACTCTTTTTTCTTAAGATCGTTGTTTTACCTCAGGAAGTTTAGCTACTGTCTGTATTGTTATATATGTATGTGTTATGTATAGGTTATGTATATTATGTTATTGTCGTAGTGCTTTGTAAGTTTTGTTTTATTTTGTATTGTTTAGTGTTGTTTGAGTTATATATGGATGTAGGGAGGTGTTATGTGTATTATAGTAGGGTAATGTATGTTTGTCTGGTATTTTGATGTTTTTTGTGGTTAGCTGTATGTGATAGTTTTATTCAATAAAATTTATTAAAATAAAAAAAAAAAATGGAAAAGCATTTCCATGGAAGTTGGGTCCTGAATTATAGTTTTAATTACCAAACTGCATATAGATGACACAGTGAAGTACAGCTAATTAAAAGTGGAAATGAAAGCTAAAGTCTTCCTTCCAGTCATAGAGAAAGGGGAAGAGGGTGATTTCAAGATTCAACACAGCTTGTGAAGACTGCAGTTCAGAGGGTCCCCAAACTTTTAAGGCTCAAGGAGCCAGAGTTGCTAGACTGGCTTCTTAAAAGCCAGATTCCAGAAATCTGGCATTGAAAAAAATGGTCACTGTTACAAAATTAATTTGTATTTTTGGCTTTTTCCTAGTTTTTTTACACGCTAAAATTATCTTCATGAAAATTACATACCATCCTTTTTCAAAATCTATTTCCATTAACAGAAATTAGTCTTGGTCAGTTGCATTTGGCAATATTTGAATTTCTGCCACCAAAAAGAATCTCTGGGTAAACATGCCCCACAGCTGTGCACATCTGGGGAGGGTTACAGGGATGGTGCAAAATCACCCTCCCTGCAATGTGAGTCTCACCCTGAGTTTCTGCCACCAAAAAAGTCTCTGGGTAAGCATGTCCCAGAGCTGCGCATTGAACATGATAGATATGTGGCACATCTGGGGAGGGTTGCAGGGATGGTGCAAAATCACTCTCCCTGAAATTTGTCTGAGTCTCACTCTGAATTTCTGCCATCAAAAAGAGTCTAGGCAAGCATGTCAGAGCTGTGCACACTTGTCCTCCCTCCAATTTGTCTGACCTCTTCCTTCAGTCTGTGGACTTTATCACATAGGGGAAAACCTGTGCAGAAACAGGATTTAAAAGCTGGGGAAAACCTGCAAAAGCGGGTTGATTTTCACACATATCATTGTTAAAGTGTTCTTAACCCGAACGGAAAGTAGTCAAAAGCCGGTCCTTTTTACTTTTGGAATTTCCCCCATGTGATAAACTCCTGTGTCAGTCCTCCAAGTGTTTGAATGTGAATTATAATCACACTAATCTACCATGAATTAATAATGTTTTGCGGAGAAACTGTGACACTGTTTTCTAAATCATTTATTCGCAACAGAGGATAATTTTTTTTTTGCCTTTTGAGAGGGCTTTTTTCATAGTATTGCTTGGCTTTACATTAAAACTTTGATCTGGTAACCTAGCAAGGACCTATTGGTAGTGCTGTGGCAACTATCAAAAAAACATCTTCCATGGGAATAGCTTGCTTATGTACAAAATGGCTGGTACAGACAGTCACAAAGCACCCATCTCACAGAAGACAAACTGGTGATGCTTCAGATATGAATAACTTGTTCAAGAAATCCAATAACATCCAAACAATTATACCTTTATTGGACTAACCAAAATGTACAATTACATGTTGCAAGCTTTCAAAGTCACACTGGCTTCTTCATCAGGCAAAGAGGAGAAAAAATGAAAATGTTAGTCATAGGTCTGCATTTTCTGTTTCTGGTCTTATTTCAGATTGCAGGGAGGGCTATCTGCAGGCTGGCACCTCCCACTTTGGTCATGCTCACCGGAAGATTTTCAAAGACAAGGAAATTTAATATCCATTTGCAATTCAAAGAAGATGTTTCCTTGGAATCCAGCATGTCTCCTTCCTTTGTGAAGCCACAGGCTCCTATGTAGGTAGAGAACACTGAATTTCTCAGGAAGTCTTCATGTTTTGCATCAAGAAAACTTTAGGTGGTGTAGGGGTAAAGTTCAGGAAAGGGATTATAAAGCAGAGGTGGGGTCTGAAGAAAAAATAAAGTGAACCTTGGAGCCCTCTGGGATCCAAAAACCTTGTGGCTGCAGTATTAGCATTTAACCACTGCACCATCAGGGCTCCTTAGAATAAAAGTAAAGGTAAAGGTTTCCCCTTGACATGAAAGTCTAGTCTTAACCAACTATAGGGGATGGTGCCTGTCTCTGTTACTAATCTGAAGAGCCAATGTTGTCAAAGACAATCCCATCGTCACGTGGCCAGCCTGGTTGCACGAAATGCTGTTACCTTCCCACCTAAGT